TGGATAAAAGAAAAGTCGGTGGCAAATCTTGCTTACCGCAACATTTGCAAACACAAACGCAAAACCAGTATAACAGTCGGTTCTGCCACCGTATCACAATACTACATACTCATTATTGACATATACACCAAATATACTTGGTTGTACTTTCTGAAACAGAAGTCTGAAGCCTTAGGCATCTTTAAGCAATTTCTTGTCTATGTGAAAACTCAGCTTAAAGCTCAAATCAAAGTTGTACAATCTGACTTTGGGGGGTGAATTTAGACCATTCACAAAATACTTAAATGATTTGGGCATAATCCATAGGTTAACATGTCCCCACACTCACACCAAAATGGAACTGTGGAAAGAAAACATAGAAGCATAGTAGAAATGGGATTAACACTCTCAGCTCATGCTCATATACCTATTGAATTTTGGGATCACGGTTTTACTTATGCTATATATCTCTTGAATAGGTTACCAACACCTAAATTTAAAGACTTCACATTTCCCTATCATGCTATTTTTAACACTATACCTGACTACAAAAGTCTTAGAACGTTTGGTTGCTCATGTTTTCCTCATCTCAGACCTTTTAACAAAAACAAACTCAACTTAGAATCTCTAAGTGTGTTTATCTAGGTATACATCCTCATCATAAGGGCCATAAATGCCTCAATAGGGAAGGCAAAATCTATATATCAAAAGATGTAGTATTTGATGGAACAAAGTTTCCATTTAACTCTATATTAGGTAACACAACTAAAAAGGACAGTACTGGCTTGAGCAACTCCCTATCTGTACCTAGATTGCTGCTTCATAAAAGTAGTTCAGAAAATTTCTCTACTCAGTCTAGTCATTTTTATTCTGCTACACCATTTAACCAGGCTAGCACTAATTCAGGTCAACTCAACTCCACTCCTAGTGTCACTTCTAACAATACTCAACAGTTTTTACTCGGGAGTCCCCAACAACAAATATTGGACACTTCAAATAGTCAAAATAACATTTCTCTACATGTTGAGTCTGAGCATACATTAGATTAAAGTGATCATGTACAAATGTCTTTTTTTCCATATCAAAGCAATCTCACTACACCTATATCCTCTTAGCTGTCTTTATCCCCATCTATTCATGATACTGTGTCAACAATACCCCTAGTCATTAATAATCATCCTATGGTAGCCGGGGGCAAAACAGGTATTTTGAAACCTAAAGTCTTTTTGGCTCATACTGAACCCACCACAGTCAAACAAGCATTAACTTAACCTTATTTGAAGTTATGCAACAAGAGTACAATGCTCTAATTTCTAAACACACCCAGACTCTCACCTTTCTTCCCTCTCATAGAAAACCTATAGGTTGTAAATGGGTGTTTAGGGTCAAATAAAATTCTGATGGCACTCTTAACAAGTATAAAGCCAGATTAGTTGCCAACGGCTTCAATCAACATTATGGTTTTGACTATCACGAGACATTCTCACCTGTCATAAAACCATCCACCATTAAAGTGCTTCACACTTTAGCCTTAACATATCAGTGGGATATACAACAAATTGACATCAATAATGCTTTTAAGAATGGATCTCTAGAAGAAGAGGTCTACATGCTACAACCACCAGGTTTTGAAAATGAAAATAAAACTCTGGTTTGCAAGCTAAACAGGACTCTATATGGCCTTAAGCATGCCCCTGGGTCTTGGTGTGAGAAGCTACACAAGACACAATTTCGGTTTGGCTTTATAGCCAGCAAGTGTGATCACTCATTATTCATCTACACTCATCAAGGTATTACCCTATATGCTTTAGTTTATGCATATGACATACTTGTTATAGGTTCCTCATCTCCTCTAATTCACAAGGTGATTTCCAAGCTTCATAATGAATTTGCTCTTAAGAAACTTGGTAAGCCAAAATACTTCCTGGGTCTTGAAGTCAAGTATTAGATCAATGGCTCTCTTATCCTTACATAAACAAAATATATCATAGACTTGCTTAGCAAAGTTAACATGGAAGAAGCCAGTGGTGTTGTTGTACCTATGTTCATCCATTGTAGACTTAACAAATTTGGTACTGATACTATGCATGATCCTTTATTGTACAAATTAATTGTAGGGGCATTGCAATACATCACACTCACAAGACCTGATATAGCTTATTGTGTGAATAAGGCTTGCCAATTCATGGCTAACCCACTGAACAGTCACTGGAGTATGGTGAAGAGAATTCTCAGGTACCTCAGTGGCACGACTACACTTGGTTTAATACTATCTCATGCCAACTCGAATCAAGAACTATCCATTAGAGCTTATAGTGATTCAGATTGAGCCAGTGACCCTAATGACAGAAGATCAACATATGAAACTTGCATATTTGTTGGTCCCAACCTGGTTTCTTGGAGCTCCAAGAAGCAAACTCTTGTGGCAAGGTCAAGCGCAGAAGCGGAGTATAAAGCCTTAGCACACACTATAACATAGTTACTTTGGCTGCAATCTTTACTAGCTGAATTAAAAGTCAAATGCATCTCTCCCACTCTATTGTGTGATGATTTAAGTGCTGTTATATTGAGTCACAATCTTGTCTTACATTCTCGAACCAAACACATTGAGCTTGATATCTATTTTGTTAGGGAAATGGTAGCTGCAAATAAGCTCAGAATTCAGCATGTCCCAGCCTCTGCTCAAATAGCTGATATCATGACAAAACCACCGCCCAACTCTACATTTAAGGACCTCAAGAGCAAGTTCAAAGTTGTGTCATTTCCACCGCCTTGATCTTGAGGGGGAGTATTAGTGTATATTTTCTGTATTGGGCTTACAATTGTTATTGGGTCTTGTCATGTATAAACTCTTAGTAAGTGAACTTTACCATTGCAATAAGATAGGATATAAGTGGTTGAGAATAGTTAGATAAGGTTATGCAATGTAACTGTATTGTAACAGAAAATAGAAGTTTCATCTTCAATATTCATGTAATGAAAATGCAGAGCATTTCATACTCCATTACCGAGCAACAACACAACATTGTTCTTTTTGCACATATATTTATATATAACGGGTGTGTTTGGATTGACGGTGAACATAATTGATTCTATCATAATTGAGTTTTGTAGAATTGATTTTATTAGAATTGAGTTTAGGAGAATTAATTTATGTTTGGATACTTTATGTAAAAGTGTGTTGAATAATAAATTTCAGTGTAAAAATCACCCAGAATCAATATCTGGAGGCAGAAACTACAAATTTTAGCTTCAGTAGAATCAATTCTACTTTTATCAAACCAAATATCTTAAAATCACCCATAATCAATTTTACACTTTTAGAATTGCTTTTAGTCCTTCTAAAAGTCAAACCAAACATGCACAATACACTTCAGCCATATTGTCATTGCATACTTAATCATTTATCATACTTTATCAGTTTACAGTTGCGTCACTAAAATTTGTCAATTCCTTACGAGAATATTTGTTTCCCTCAAAAAAAATTATGAAGCACAATGTAATTTGATACTTACATGTTAAAGTTATATTAGTTTCTAAAAAATGATTTTCAAGAGATCAGCAGCTCTCTAGCTCAATGCTCCATTTTTTAAGACATCATCATTTTCCACTCACTGCTACTGTAATATATAGCCATGCTATACTATGGGTATTCATTATGTTTTATATTTTTTTTGTATGGTTTACTATAAATATCTCATGTCGGGAGTATGTGATAATTTAAGCATGGTTTTTAATGCAGCCTAACAAAATTACATGCACTAATGAGTGAATAAGGTAGTGGTATATATGTGTTTCAAGAACAATAGAAAAGGTAATATCAAGTAACAAAGTATTTCCAGGTAGACCAATGTAAATAGATCAGATATGTCATTTAAAAGTTTTTGGTAATTTTAGTCACTTTTCCCAAACATTCCATCAGAAGGATTACTATTAGTTATATAAAAATGGATGTGAAAAATTAGCACTATTGTGTTGTGGCTGGGATGGTAAAATGCATCATTGCTTTCATTGTGAATGCGAGTTTGAACCTTGCTGGCCACAAAAAAAATTTTGTTTGATATCCAATCATATATTAACATGTGGCATTTAATAAATATTTGATAAATAATATTTAATTAATTATATTAAATATTGAATAATATTTAATTTAATTATTTTTAATATGATATAGTAAAAATGTATGACACGGCGCCAATTGGTATTGCCACATCACTGCCACCTCTATAAATCTGAAAGAGGATAAAAAAACTCAAGAAAAATTTAATAGATGAACTAATAGAAGCAAGCATGAAGAGAACCATTGTCCAATCGAAACTTGTAATAAAAAAACTCAAGAAATATTCACGAAGCCACGACATACTGCCCGAATTCTGGTGTCTACAACTTTGTACTTTGATGTCCTAAATTCTTGATGGATCCTTAATAAGATCGGGGTGAAAAACATCACTCCTCGAGCTTTCTCAGAACATACTTCCACTCAGCCTAAACCTTGCGAGGGTTCCATCCTTCTAATAATAGGATTATTCAATATTATCTTTTATCAGCCTAAACCTTGTTCATTGAATACCAACAATCTTTTCTCTGTGTTTAATCCAACAAAATGCTTAATCAGGTTTTCCTTATTCTAGTAGCACTAATTTCTCAGCATCAGAAAAATTTCCAAGATTAGGTTACTAACAGTCTTCTTAGTCTAAATCAAATCCACTTGAATGCCATCTTGATTCCTTTATTTCATCCAAGAACATCTAAAGTTGAACACATTACTACAAGGTTTTAATCCACTAACTCTCTTCTCAATAACTCACCTACCGAAACAAGCCTTACCAATCCATTCTCAAAACTTCTTGTAGCCTCATATATGTATGGTTATAGTATTCCCTTAACTTGTTGAGAATCCCATTGCTTCATACTTTACCTTGGGAGTACACCTCATCCTCATGACTGCTCTTACTCCTTCCTGAAGATTAACTTAGTAAGGTGGAAAATGATGTTTTTCAGGGAGAAGTTGAAGCAAAATTATGTCCTTCATTATCAATGGTGTTATGGAAGAGCCGGTCGAATGGGAAAATGGTATGCTGACAAGAAAGGAAGCTTTTTCAGGGTCAGTTGATTACACTTGAGGCATAATATCTTGAAATTGATTCTTTGAAAAAGAGTGCTTATCGAAGTGTTTTGTATGAATTGGAATCTTTAGCTTCAGAGCTTCTTGCTTTCTGTGCTTTCTTCCGTCTATTTTGATTACTTTGTCGTTCATTATTCCATTAAATATTTATAAATATTTGTATGTATAATATTATATGTAGTTGTTTTGTATTTTTGGAAATACCTTGTGTATTTGGCATTCTTGGCAGTTCGCATTTTTCCTTTGTCTAACGAGATACGGTCATGCCTCTACATTTGTAAAGTGCTCTGCATCACAGAGAATCACTCTCGGCCAGGGGAAGAGGATCCCCATCCCAGCCCCTGAGCTATGACTCAGATCGAGGTGGACGTCTCCAAGATTCACCACGCTCGTCCTTGGATTGCCTAAATCCAAAAGGAGGGGTGCGCCATCTACCATTCTTTTTGTCGAAGTTGCCAACTTTCTTTGTGAATTTCGCCTTAATCGATAAACCTTCACCAATTGAAGATGGCTTGTTCTCCTTTTGTTCATTCAAATCCTTAGAGTACAAGGTTGGTTAAACTTATTCAAAGGTCAGCGACTCTCTTCCATACAAGAGAGTTTCTTTGAAGTGAGCATGTGTTATGGGCAAATCACACAACAATAACAACGCTTGATCTTCATCCTCGATTTTGACATTGATATTTTCAAGATAAAAAATCGGCTTGTTGAACATATCCAACTGCTCAGACAGGACTTGACCTTCACTCATCTTGAATGAATACATAGCTTGCTTTAGGTAGAGGCAATTGACCAACGATTTGGTCATGTACAAACTTTTGAGTTTCTCCCATAGACTCAATGTCGTCATCTCCTTCGAAATGTATCGAAGAACCTTATCCCTAAGACTCAATAAAATGACGCTATGGGTTTTTCTCTACCATAACTGTTTTTTATTTATCCTTTAACGTAACGTCCATGGTTGTAGTTCCTTTCAACGCTTCTAAACAACCCCACTGAACCCGTATGGCTTTTATCTTCAAGCATCACAAACCGAAATTGTTCACTCCAGTGAATTTTCCAATCTCATACTTTGTTGACGACATCTTCTTCATGCTCACTGCACTTTGTTGTGAAAAACGATGTCAAGAATATAGTATAACAGATTTATTGATCGACAAGAAACCCACAAGGGTAGGAAAGAGGGAAGCAAGAATAACACAAAGAATTGGTTATAAACTGTCATTCTTTACTTTCTCTTTGAAATAAGATTACTAGTGTTACATAATAGAAAATAGTCTCTCTCACCTTAATTAAGATTTGCATTGTGCAATGATGAGAGACTAGTATGATATTTATAAGAAAACTAACACATTAAACTAATGAACTTTTACATACAGACTCATTACAAGTTAACTTAAACAATTGGGCATAACAAACATGCCCAATTTGACATGCTAACATACCTAGTAAATATCAACGAATACATGTTAAAACAACTTCGACTACAACGCACACTATTTCGACAACAACATGCGAACAAGCTTCGACCTCATACTTAATTTTTTTTCAGACAAAAAACTATCCATTCGACCTTACTGGAGTTCGATCTAATATCTCACAAGAATCAATACTTATGTTTTAGGCAAAATCCAACTTAAACAAAAATTTCAAAAGACCAAACTTCTCATTGTAGGATTTCATATGTTTAAATTGACTCTTTTTAAATATCGGTCAAATGGTTGATTAACCATTTTAAATCTTCTTGTCTTAATATAATATTAGTTTTAAAATTGCAATCATTATAACAGAAAAAACACTTAAAAAACATCAAAATAATTTTTTTTTTGCTTTTCTAAAAATAGTAAATTGGATTTCAGAGTTATCCATCTTCTTCGGTTCAAACACCAAAGTCTATCTTGCTTCCTATCTCACTGCTCAACACAATACACACATGCATAACAGAACTTTGAGTTTGAAGATTACATCAGGTTATTCATCTTCTCCAATTCCATTCCCTCACAATATTCCTGTTTCTTAACTTCACCTTTTCACTTCACAATCACTTACATACATCTTTTATTGCCATAAATTTCAAAGTAACCTCAATATCCATTTCTGCATTGAATTTTTTCCTACCCTTGAAAACCCATTGGAATCTAGTAACCGGTTTTATTAAAAAAAAAACTGTTTTTATCAATTTTATGGCTCTACCGTGAATGCCCATTAACTGTTTGATGAAATTTTTGTTCCACCTGTTTGTATAGACTTGAATATTCTGATGCGATTTTTGGTGTAGGACGCTGTAATTACACCATGAATTAACTATCTAGATTTGAGTAGACAAGAAAAGCAGGTTAGGTAACTGATAATATCATTGTGAACACGCGATGAGGGCTTTGTGAAGCCTTGAGGTATGTTGAGTTGTTTTTCTCCCGATAGTGTTCTAGCTCCCCCAATTCTATCTTTGCACCCCTCTCCCTGCTTATTACTTCATCTGCCTCTATCTGAGTTGCTTCCTAACCATTTTCTGACCTTGAACCTGGTTCTTTCCTTCATATGTAGCTGTCATGGAAACAGGATAATACCTTGACATCACTTCTATCTTTCTTGGTATGTAGCATTCCTTCCAATTGAGATCAATTCCCTTAATTAATCTGCACCATTTTCATCATTTCTGCTGCTAACCCTTCTTTTCTATGCAGTTTCAGCTCTGCTCTGATTTTCTTCCTTCATGTCACTAAGGATAAGTCCCTGGATGTATGACTTCCAACTGTTAAAATATCACACAAGTCACTATATGGTGTTTGTAAGTTTCCACTCTCTTTGATGGATTCAGTTTTTTACTGTAAGGAAATAAGAGATCCGATGACATCATAAACTTTGAGGTTATAATATATGACAGTTAACATCTGAGTTTCCTTCCTTTATCAAAATTAAAGGGAAAGGTTCAAAAAGGCAACTTATTGGCTTTGTTAGAAGCCCTAATTTCAGTATATAACAATACCACTAAAAATACAAAAAAAAAGAGTCATAACCCCAATGGATAAGGCCTAGACATTACCACTGTCTGAGGCATTGGGAGCAGAGACAGAAATCCAAGTGCAACATCAATCTCAGCATTGTTGGGCTTGCATTGCTTCATCAAAGAGGTTTATGATGTATAGTTTGATTTGCATATTATATTTATTTTTATTTGACATGAAAGAACTATATAATATTTAATGTTGAGAACATTTTGATTTCAATGTTTTTTTGCTTCAACCTTGATCAGAATACATAAGGAGATTCTATTGGATATAGATATTAGATATAAATCTTGCCATCCACTTGTTTACTTATGACACGTGGTGAAAATAGGAGGTATGTACTTCAATTTTCCCCCTAAAACAATTGTCCCAACTAAGTTATTCTCATACTTCTCATATGAGGGCATTTGGTCTAGTGGTATGATTCTTGCTTTGGGTGCAAGAGGTCCCGAGTTCGATTCTCGGAATGCCCCCCCTTTTTTTTAATTGTTGTGGAAGTTTACTATTGTTAATTGTTTAATTGAATATGAATAAGCTACAATTTTTTTTTTAATATTTGTTTAAGATGTGGGGACTGACAAGCTTGACTTGTTTTCTGGTGTATTAGTTAAATAATTATTAGGCTTTAGGGGCTGCATGTGAATGGCTTGTGATGAACGCTGTGACCCATGAATAATGTATTAGTAGCCAAACTCATGTCCCAACATGACAAACTCTTCTTTTTGCAATCACAATTAACTAATTTTTTTTTTTTATAGTAATGTGAAATAATCTCATTGTTGTATGATATGGAATGATGGACGGTAAAAAGCCAACAAAAAAATACTCAGTGTAACCGGAGTGAGGTCCATGAGGACGTTGGACTGGATTAGTGAAAATACCAGATGCAAAAGGATTCCTGACCAAAAAAAGATAGAGAGAGTTGGGGTAGCAAACTGACACCTATTGTAGATTACATGGTTAAATATCGACTCAGGTGGTTTGTACACCTGTGGCGAAAATCTAAAAATCCTACATTAAGGAGAATTAAATCATATGGATGGTGGCACAATTGCTAGATGTAGAGAAATTTCATGAAAAACTACTTAATAAACTATTAAGAAATGAAGAGGTCCATATTTTGACCATATATATGACTTATAAGTTATAACATTATGATGACTTTTGATTCAAGTAGGCAACTTCACCTAGTGGGATAAAACATGATTGTTAGTTGTATAATAATGTGAAAATGCTAGATGGATTGGCCATTTTCTTTTTAATTTCAATAGTGAACCTCAGTATAATAGTCATGGAAATGTGAAATATACAATACAACTCTCACATAGTAAAATGTTAATAAAATGTGAGTGCCGCCAATGTAATGATGACGCGTGGTAAAAATAAGAGGTCTAAATTCAGCTTTTGTCTGAACTATCAAATTTTCACATTCAGAATCATAGGTTTTCATACCAGGGTTCATACAAGGGCATTTGGTCTAGTGGTATGATTCTCGCTTAGGGTGCGAGAGGTCCCGAGTTCAATTCTCGGAATGCCCCTTTTTTGAAGAAGGTTTAGGAGTTTATCTTTTCAATAATTTAGTTAAAAACAAATAAAACTGTGTTTTTCATTTATTGTTGAAGATCTTGAAGCTGACAGGGTTTACAAAAGTTACATCTAATAAATATATTTCTCTACACTCCCATCATGGATCTAACCCCTCACTAAATAGAATGAGGACTCGAGTATCTAGTATTTGTGTCGCATCATGTTGCTAACTTTTTTGACGCCTTACGAAGAAAAACATGTTAGCTTCTAGGTGATTGGGAGCTGCATCAAGTGGTCTCATTTTTGCACATAGATTTTCTGTTGCAACTGAAGTTATAGATTTCGACCGTATCATCTCAAATCAATGGTCAAACTTGTTTATAACATATATAATGATTGTGTGATATGAACAATTGGTTCTCAAATTATGGTTGTGATTGATTACTATGTGTAACGGTGTGAATTTTGTATTATAGGAAATCCGAGTTTCTCATTATTATAAGACACAAGACAGGACCAGCATCTGCTACTTAGCATCTGGTTGTCTCCAAATGTACAAAGTTGGCAACACTAGAAGAGTTTCAATATCTTCCCATAGTGTCTTTAATGCATTGAAGAAGCTGCTAACTGACGTGTCACGTTGACATATGGAATGATTTTCTTGCAGAAGGTCTGAGAGGCCAAACTCATAACTTTTGGAGAATCTATTTTTTCAGTCCATCCCACATTGTTAAATCTTTTTCAACATGAATCATGCTTTTTTTCAATTTATGGTGAAAGGGATACAAACAAGCCAAGAAATAAAAATGTTGTTGCATTATTCCCAGGAATAAAAGAGTGGATCGGCTGCAGCAGGCAGATTGAGGTAAGATTCCATTGATGTATTTTTGTTTATTTTGCTAAGAAAAACCTTATTCATCGCACATCTCGAAGATTCATAGTTTCTTATGGTCAAGGGTGGTGCAACGAAGATGGTACCCGAAATTTCTGCAAGATGTATGTAGTAAGGACTTCATTGTGTTAATTTTGGAATAAACTCATAGTATTATTCTTATTTTGGAATGTACAAAACAGTACTATATATACTGTTTAAGTAACAAACTGTAACAAATTGTTTAGTAACTAACTAAACAGAATTATAACAAACTATAACAAACTGTTTAGTAACAAACTAAACAAAATTATTTTTATCATGTAATAGCCCCCCCACAAGCTGGACTATGGATATCTAATAGACCAAGCTTGAAAACAAGAGAATCGAAAGAGGGAGCTGCCAAAGGCTTGGTGAGAACATCTGCCAATTGAGCAGCAGAAGAAACTGGTAAAAGGTGGATGAGACCAGTTTGGATTTTCTCACGAATGACGTGGCAGTCAATTTCGATATGTTTTGTCCGTTCATGGAAGGTGGGGTTGTGAGCAAGGTAGATAGCACTTTTGTTGTCACAATAGACTGAGATAGGTTGATCAAAGGAGATGTGGAGATCCTTGAACAAATACTGCAGCCATTGCAATTCACAAGTCAAGCTTGCCAAGGCCCTGTATTCCGCTTCTGAACTTGATTTGGATACTGTAGACTGCTTTTTGGATTTCCAGGATATGAGGGAATTGCCAAGGAACACACAATATCCAGTTACGGATCTGCGGGTAGCAGGGCAACTTGCCCAATCTCGAAGAAGTGCTAACTTCGTTGCTCGAAGAAGTGCAAACTTCGTTGGTCGAAGAAGTGCAAACTTCGTTGGTCGAAGAAGTGCAAACTTCGTTGGTCGAAGAAGCAGAAGAAGTGCAAACTTTGTTGGTTGAAGGAGTGCAGACTTCGTTGGTCGAAGAAGCAGGGGGCAGGAATCCAGGAGGCAGATCCATATACACTTCCTCATGTAGATCACCATGAAGGAAGGCATTGTTGACGTCGAGTTGTTCCAAGTGCCAATTCTTAATGGCAGCCACTGAGAGAAGGGTTCGAATAGAAGTAAGCTTCGCAACAGGTGAGAAAGTGTCGAAATAATCCACCCCCTCCAGCTGAGTATATCCTTTTGCTACCAAACGAGCCTTGTATCGTTCGATGGATCCATCAGCATGATGCTTGATTTTGTAGACCCATTTGCAACCAATCGATTGTTTGCCTGTAGGCAAATCAACAACAGACCAAGTATTTGTAGATTCAAGAGCATCTAACTCAGATTTCATAGCATTGTTCCAACAATCAAACTTGCAGGCTTGTTTATAGGTTTTTGGTTCTGAGTCAGATGCTGGCAGCATGGGGGATAGCAAATTGCAGTGATAATCAGATAGATAAGATGGAGGTTTAATATTTCGATTGGATTTTCTGGTTGGCACAGGAGGGGAGGGGCAAGGGGAGTTGTTAGTGTCATTCGAGGGAGAAGAGAGGTTAGTGGGAGATTCTGGCTGGGGGAGAGAGGTAGGAGAGGAAGGTTCATTTGATGGTGGAGGTAAGTTGGGTGGAATGTTGGTGAAAATATCAGGTGAATCAAGGGAAGGATGGTCAGGAGTAGGAATTATAGGATTAGGTGCAGGTGGGATGGATGCAAAAGGGAACACAGTTTCATAAAAGAATACATTCCTTGAAATGTAAAATTCATGTGTGATAGGATCATAGAGAAGGTAGCCTTTTGTGCCTTCCCTGTAGCTAAGAAAAATAGATTTCCTTGCTCTTGGTTCGAATTTAGTGTGATGGTTAAGCAAGGTCGAAGAATAGGCAAGACAACCAAAGACTCTCATATGGCTAAGGCTGGGAGGAGTAGAATGGAGTTTTTGGTATGGAGAGTGGTTGTTTAAAAGAGGAGTGGGAAGACGGTTTATAATATGAATGGCATGTTGTATGGAAAGGTGCCAAAGGTTGTGAGGGAGGTGAGAGTGGAAAGAGAGGGCACGGGCAACATTCAAAATGTGTTGATGTTTTCTTTCCACAATACCATTCTATTGAGGCGTTTCCACACAAGACCTTTGATGAATGATTCCTTTAGAAAGGTAGAAAGTGGTCATGAGAAACTCAGGACCATTATCACTACGAATGCACTTGAGTTTCTTGTTAAATTGGGTTTCGATAAAGGATATGAAGTGAATTAAATGGTTTCTGGTTTCACTTTTGTTGGCCATAAAAATTGTCCAAGTAAACCTGCTGTAATCGTCTACGAGGGTTAAAAAAATACTTGTGGCCACATATGGAAGGT